TTTACATATTATAGATTACAATTTTATTAAAGTTTACGACAAAAGAAGAGAATTTAATTTTTCCACACTAAAATTAACTAACTGGAATTCAAATATTTCCAAAAGAGTCATACTTAATACAATTTATTCACAGCTACTCAGAATAAAAAGAATCTGCAATACTGCGAAACACTTACAAGAAGAAATACTATACTTCGTAACTGTTTTGAAAAGTAACCTAATTCCTCATAAAATAATTAAAAATACCCTAAAAAAGCTGGCATTAGCCTTACCTATTTTTAGATTTTTTGAATTAGATAATGATATTTTATGCCTAAAGCCCGAAGGACGGTTTAAGATGGATGACTGATTCAGAGAATCTAATGTAAAAATGTACAGATAATTCTTGTTTATTCATTCTCTTTCCTCCAAAATTTTGGCACTTTACTTTTAAATACTATTGTGTAAATAGTTTTAAATTTCTATAATGGCCAATTTTACTGCTTTTATTAACAAATCGGGCCTTTTCATTTTTCATAGTAGCTTGATCGCCCGCTAGCTTGAAGAATTACGACTTTTTTAACAAATGACTGTTTTTTACTTTTACTCTTGCTTTTGTGGCCAAGTTTTGTAGTTTTAGCTGAATTAGCCATTTTCACTTTCAGTCACAATTTTTTCTTCCAACTACATGTCAGACGCCATTTTGTAATCTTTTCACGTTTTTCCGAGTCTTCCGACCCCCTTCGATAATTGGAGACGAGTTACAGCTAACGGACAATCTTTTCGTATTGGCTAATGCCCACAGAATATCGCTCCCCCCTACACACGTCACACGACTGAAGGACACAGAAGGGAATTACAACTACTTTTCAACATAGTTTTAAGAGGGAGAGCTCTGCATCACCACAGGTCAGTTTTTTGTTTCTTTTGTTACAACTTTTTCTTGGTCTTAGCAAGACCCACTTTGTTGGTTTTCATCTTAATTTTCTTTTATTTTAATTACAGATTTTCATTACAGATTTCTAAAATATATAAAATTATAAATCTTTAAGCTTGCAGGCCCAGCCCGTATGTTTTTGTATATTTAGGACTAATAGCAGACTGCTATTTATTTGTGTTTTTATTTTTATTTTTATTTTTATTTTTATTTTAGTCTAGATTTAAGATGTATCGGAATAGTTTTTACATATTTTTACACCTTAATGTGTCATTTTGTGCGGACGCGTCGGGAAATTGGAACAGAGAATTGAGACTATTAAAATTTTCCAAGACACTTTGTCTAAATTAAAAAAATTTGTAGCGAAAAAGTTTCAATTGTCTGTTTCGGCGAAACGCGTAATGGGGTTAGCTTGATTCGACGTTCAAACAAATAAAATTTCCCTTGAAAAGCCAGTTTGGAAGTCGAGTTAGGCTAATTTACCATTTTCCGCTTACTTTTTTATCTGATTTTGTTTTTTAATGTTTTACATGTTAAATGGTTTGATTTTCATATGTATTAATTTTTTTAAAATGTGTTGAACTTTTTGGAGCAGCAGCTCCTGGTAACTTTTAGGCGAGCTTACTACAATTTCTAATTTACTTATTTTGCAGCATATTGCGCAAGATGTGTTCTAGACCAAATTGGTCATTCAGTATTGTAATTACTACCTTGCTTGATATATTATTTAATATATATATATATATACAGATATTACAAAAATCTTTGTTCCATCGAATCAACTTATTGACATATACAAATATTTGTACTCATCTGGTGTCATACATTGTCATACATTCGTAGTATAAGTGTTCATTCCAATACAGTAAATATGCCAATTTAATACATGAAATACCAATAACAATGTTGCACAATGTCATTTATATATATCTGTAGTGTAAAAATATCTTTCTTCCACATTGATTGTCATCACTTAAATGTAGCACATTTGACTTATTTATACACCAAATGTAGTACTCATTTAATGCACTGCCATATGCACATATATGTGTACATACAATATAATTTCCCTTATATATAGTATTCAATGATGTAATACGAATATGTAATACTGTGCTATTCAAAATATCTTGTAACAAAAGAAAACAAAATATGTACTGAACAACAGGCCTTGTATGCCAATGTAACTGATTTCCTCAGAAATGACGTTCAATTCCGTACGGCACGAACTAGGACGGATGTCGTCTTCGCGGTGTATAGTAGCAGCCATTATGGACTAAATACATTGAACTGATTCTGTCTAAAACTTTGCAAACCACCCTGGAGCGTAGAATTGCAGAAATATGGTAGGGCATGGATTCCACGAGGACTCGAAAATATTCTATAAGCAATGAACATCATACTTCCTGAAATGTGGCCCGTAATTTTGCGTATTTGGAAATGCAGGAGCTCGGTGGTCAAATCGAGCATTGTATGCCATCCCTGATTAAGATCTTTAGAAGCCCTAAGCACTAAAAAATTTCGTCCATGCAAATGTTTAAGCAAGCTTTTTTCTTAATTCCTTCTCTCTCTTGGTTTTGCAAGGTAAAAGTGGTAATGGGAAATTTTTTGGTGCCACCTTTCCTGAATAATTGAGGGATTTTTTAAAGACACCCCTTCCTTTGAGGCCCTAAGCGCATGCTTATATTCTTTAATGGTCAGTCCAACCTGTTCCTGATGTGTCGATGGCGTTGAGATATAGTGACTTGGGCAGCTACTGCAAAACACCAAAATCAGGCGACATCCAGTGAAGAGATCCTCAAATCACAGTATGGCAGCCATAGACCTGCGCAATATTCATTATCCTGTCAGAAAAGGCTAGGCTCAGAGAACATGAGCGAACGTAACTCATTAAAAAAGAAGCGCAGCCACCGTTTACCTATCAGAAACGTTTACAGACACTCATTAGTTCTTCTGAATTCGAGCTAAAGCAAATCCTATAACATTATATAGCCACTACAACTTCTACAAGGTAGACCTATTGACAAGTAGGATCATGGCTGAGAGGGCGAGGTTTCTCCAGCTTCATTCTTAAATGTTATTCCAAATCACAGGTATTTTGATGTACCCGAAACAGTTGGAAATTCCACTAATCTCAGGCTATTTCTTTACAGACGTCGGTTGTCTACCAGCTGAATTTTCTAACCAGGTGATCTGCGTAAATGTTCAGTTAGTAGCGTACATACAGCAGTACATTAGCAAATTAGCCTACAAAATCAAACAATACACACGAGTTAATATATATTTTAGTCTGCACACATCTGTTAACTATTGAATCCTGTTCCCCTTAAAAACGTTCTATGGTCATATTAAGATATGTTAAGGAGGCTTTTTCTGCAATAAATTTGTTCTAAATAAATTTAAAATGTAGACATCATGAATTTATTACTCATTATGAAAATTTAGAAGTTGTTTATTTTGGTGATTTTGGTGGCTTTCAAGTTGCTTACTAAACATTTTATTTCCCTTTAAATGTATTCCTCTGCCCGCTTAGAATTTCTAAATCCTTAAAAAACTCATTCAATTAAAATTAGTTTTTTTTTAATAAAATTGTTTATAAATATTTTTACTTTATTAAACCGGACTTTTTTCAGTTATCCTTAATTGAGTATCTTAAACGTAAGTAGAATTAATTTATCTGCTAAGATTAAATTCTCCCTATAGAAAAAATATGCTTATGGCCTTAAGTCATATAAGAAGATGAAAGAGAACCATGAATGTATCCTAATGTGCAAAAAAACAAAGTGTTAAGTAATGGAGAAGTCCATGTAACCTATAAATTTATAATGAAGGTTCTGATATGTGTATAGCCTATTGAGTGAGGTGTTGAAAATACTAACCTATCTAAATGAAAAGGTGTTAAGGCAGGATGCTTTGTTCCAGTAACTAAGACCTCCTGAACATTTGTTTCTTATTGAAGGAACAAAACTAAGCTAAAAAAACATTTTTTTCAGGAGTTCGGCACTTTGAAAACTATAATAAGTGTCCTTGAGCTAGTTAAAAGCGCATGGCAAAGGCCAAAGGGAACAAAAAAAAAAAAAAAAAAAAAAAAAAAAAACAAAAAAAAAAAAAAAGATGGGGATCCAGTTACCTAACAGTTTAAAATATGATTAGGACACTAATTTTAAGCTAACACAGGAAAGTAAAAATTTAAAAAAATGAAAAATGGAATAAAGAGGGATAAGTCCAAACATGGAATACAAGGCAATATGTTTTTTTTACCTTGAGACACAATAGCAAAAAGAAACACAACATCAGACAAAAGTAGATAGATATTCATACATTTTTTTCAGAACACATCAGCATACAAAAGCAGATATCCATACACAATGCTAGACCACATCAGCCAAAGAAAAAAAAAAAAAAAAAAAAAGAGAGAAAGAAATCCATGCACAGCTCCGTTCAATGTAAACAGCTTTTAGTTAGAACGCACAGTGAAGCTGCAGATACTAAATTATTGGAGTAAATTACCAACTTTAAGATGTAATCAATAATCACCTTAAACCACATTACAGGAAAAGATCGAGATAAACTAGCTGAAACACTTTATGCATACAAAACGTTAAAAAAAAAACTGCGCTTCTGCTTCTCGTCATAAATGATGAGCAGTAAAAGCTAATGGAAAGAAAACATGCTACCTTAACCATTGGACTTCATATTTAATTCATACAAGAACATTTTATATTCGTCCAAAAAACAAAGATATAAACAAAAGATTGGCCTTTTTCTATACCTAACGGAGAACAATAATACTCATCAATGCTAAAAAATAGACAGACAAAGTAGACAGATGTCTTGTTTTGCACTTGTTACGTCTTTTAGCCCGCGGGGCGAAAACTCAAATTTAGGTGCGAAGGAAATGTAATTAGAAAGGGGGCAATTTTGTTTAAGAGAAAAGTAAATTCGTAGCATTTGATACGAATTTTTTTTTACAGACAGGAGAAAAATTAAGTTTAAAAAAAAGGGAAAAAAAGGACCCAGAAATATATCCCAGAAGCATAGTTATAGAATGTTGCCTTAGCAGCAGACGAAGCAAATTTCCCTTTTTTTATTGTCCGGGAGCTAAGCTATTCAATTCGTTCGGAATTTAATATTTTCTTTTTTATTCACATCTTTGTGTCCAGTATTTTCAAAACATAAAATTGTCACTCTTGAATCGCACAGCTTCGTGTTCTAGGTCTAAATTATTACATACTAATATTTCGTCGATTCCTGAAACTGAAATTAATCTCAAGGTCGTTCACGAACGACTCTTTCCCAAGTTGTTTAGTAGCGAGTAGGTTGAAGTCTAGGCAAAGAGTAAGAAGTATTTGCAGTATATTAATTAAATAGTACACAAATTAAAATCTTAGATTGTTTCTCGTAGCATATAACTGCGCAATTAGAGCGCAATGGATTTGATATGGAAAGTTAGTTCGAAAGCGAAAGAAATATTATCGCAGAAGGATGACACTGCTGGAAACCAAGCTGAAAGTTCTTTGGAATATGCTGGACTGAGAAATGAAAAACCTGCCTCTTCTTTTAGCCTAGAAACTCAACAAGGCAATTCTGATAGAGAAGCTTCTTCTGAGAGTGGAAGTTTCGATTCAGAACATAATGCCAGTCCTGGATCCAAAGAATCTGTCCACAATTTTGAAGCAGATGAAGATGCCGAGCGAAACAGTGTTAAAATGGGGATATCAGCTAGCGACCTGAGAGACGTTTCTCACAAAGCCGTAGAATCGGCTAAGTCAATTGGCAGTGAGTGCTGTTTATTAATATTGTATTAGTAATAATCATTTAAAGGTTTTATCTTTTTTAATGACAATGTTGATTTTCTGCCTTAGTTTTATTAGCCTTGGCATTCTTAACACAAAGAAAAGTGCTAATGCAGTTTTAGGTTACAGCTTAATAAGTCTTTTAACATTTCCATGTAAAAAAATACTGCAAATGTATGTGCATAATTAAACCAGAAATGATAAAGGTACAAGAAGCTGTTTACTAGACTGATACATAGGCTAAAAAAAATGCTGTTTAATTTCCTTTTATATATTGATCAGGAAATAAAAGATTATCTGTCATGAAAAGATAACATAAATTTGGTTATTCATTCTTTTGGAATGCAAGTCCAGGTGATAATGTCATATTGGTTAAAATTGTGTTGTAGAATAGTCATGTATGACATTTAGTGTTTTATTTACTAGTGGAAGCTCTCTTTTTCCTGACGTCAACTTTTGCAGAATTTTGTATATGTGTATCCATGTGGATAGATATTTAAAATCGCTGAATGTTCATAGCTCTTCCCAAGTGCTCTTTCTGTAACTGAATGACTAGACGTGTGGGATATTATCATCTTTCCTATGTTGAGTATGAATGTGAGCTGTTTTTTTTTTAGTTTTCTATGATTCAAAAAGGCATAGTTGTAATAAATTATCCATGTTTATATTCTTATATAAATTTGTTCGTACAAAAATATTAACTTTTTGTGCATATTGAGCTTGCAGCCATAATAGCACCTTAATCAAATAAAGGGTACCCCTTGGTGAAAATTGGCAAATTTTGGTGGTACAGGGATACCAAGTTTTTGCGATTCTTTGACTTGTTATTTAGGCTTTTGTGCCAAAAATCGCCGCTAGCCAAAATAACAAGACAAAGAATCACAGAAAGGCGGTATCCATGTACACATTGACCTATTTTCACTTTAAAAAAAACATCCCAGAATTGCAGAAACTTGCATTGCGCACTCCCTTATCTTTATCCATGTACACGTCGACCTATTTTCATTTAAAAATGTCAGAGAATTGCACAAACTTAGCATTGCACACTCCCTTCACTTTGTCCATGTACACATCGATATCATTTCAATTAAAAAGTCAAAGGAGCATCCAGTTTTACACTAGAGGCAAACAAAAAATATGTAATCTCAATAAACTACATTTTAAACCAAACAATAAAATAACATAAAAATGGAAAAACCTCTTATGTACTACAGAAAGCAAATATCCACTTACCTTATTTAGGAATTTCTTCGTCTTAAGTCTGTGGCACACAAAATTCCTTAACAGCACCCAAACACTTCCTAAAATTATCGGAACTCGAATCCGTATATTGCCGTTACCACATAATTTCACAGGGTTGATCTTTACATTATGGTAACTTGGCGAAAATTTGGCGACCAACTCTCCTACAGCAACCCTCTATTTTTTTTTCCCGCCGCCATTTTGTCTTCACGAAGTAAAGACATGTTTCTTTTCTTTTTTTTATCTACTGAACACTTCTTCCAACAATCTACTAGCCGAATTACACTTATGCTAGAAATTTTATCTAACAAACTGCTTAATCATGACAAATATTCACTGCAAAATTGGGAAAAGTGCACAATACCATACTCCTTACGCGTTTTTTCAAATAACACATACACATAAACCATGTACACGCCAACTTATTTTTACTTAAAAAAACATCCCCAGAATTGCACAAAAATGGCATTGCGCACACTCTTCACTATATCCATGTACACTGCTTTTTTCTCTCATAAATTAGAAAAATTTCACGAAAATACATGACAATTTTCTCAATCTTTAAAGCCGGTAAAAAGAACATATATAAATTACCTGATCGCGAAAAAGTACTGAACATTTCCACATATAAAATAAATAAAATATCCAAAAACTTTTACCTCTAAATCATCTATTACATTATACACGTCACCAACGAATTCATACCGCAAGCATTACAAATACTTAGTATCAAATATTTAAATTATTTCCATGCACGTTTACTTCAACTAAAACGTATACCAAATTCCTACAAACATAAAATTCACAAAATAACTATCATTTAATTAAAATATAATTAAATTCAAAAACACTACTTAAATATAAATGAGCACATACATTAAATTAATACATACATAAATACCCATTTCGAATTCACTTTAGTTACGGCCATTGGATCCAAAAATTCACGAACACTGTTTTACACAACACAGAATAAAGCCAAATACAAAATTTCCAGATTTTTTTTTTCCCGATTTCCCCCCTTTTCCGATTAAAGAACCGTAATTCGTCCATTAATATCACATGACATATCCCATGATCTCTCATTTCCCTCACACAAAATAATGCGTAATCGGAACTGAGTACTGCTCACATTATTACCAAAGTGCCAGATAGTAACCTTTATCGCCTCCAAAATGTCGCCAAACTACCAGTTACCATATTGTAAAGATCAACCTTTCACAAAAATAAGAGAAAAAAATATCCTCCATAGTTTCGGACTATCCGGAAAATGGCTACAAAATAAAACTTTATTTACACACCAGTCAGTTAATGCTCTTTTCCCCTTTTGTTCCAAATAGTATAGAAACTTCAAATTAATCTTACAACATTCAGCCATTCTACCACCTAAACAATAAAATAAGCAAAGTACTTCCTAACCAACACACACAAGAAAAGCCCTTACAAAATATCCCATGATTCGAAATTTCCAGGAATAATGCAACTACAGTCAAAAGTCATTAATCCGGACTCGTCGGGACTTCAGCGATTCCGGATTATAGATCATCAGTTTAAATCTGGTAAGATGGCATGCAGAAATTATAAAATTACAAATATCAAACCGTAATTTATGAAATAAAGAACAATTATGATCTAAAGGGTATCAAAATTTACAAAAAAAAAAAAAAAAAAAAAGCTTAATATTTATTTGTTTACTTTATTAAACATTTCTTTCAATGTAAGTTGTTTAAGTTGCTTCGTTTTATGTGATAATACTTTCTCTTTACTGTATCAGAAGCGAATTATAATGACCAGGAATTTGATTTAAATCGTATCAAAGACGGAATACATCGAGAAGAAATACTACATTTAGTAAGGAATTATAAGCCAAATAAAATAAAAACATCTGCCCTGAAGATAAGGATAGTGCTGACAGATCAGCTTCCAGTTCATTGCGTGCCGCGGCGTTCCCCCCTCCCCCCCCCCGGGCCGCAGAGCAGCGTGAAATTGATAAACAGATTTCGGAATGGTTTGAGAAACGAAGGATATGCCTTTATCCATTTTTTGCAGCAATTCCTTTTTTGTTTAATGGACTTCTAAACATACTTTCGCTTTGTAGATAATTTACATATTCGGAAATTCTATTTGACATAATCGAAAGTTCAAGCTTACTTTTACAAAATTGCTCTAACAGTCTGCAAAAAATAATAAGCCGGATCCAATTCGAAGATTAAGGAACAATGCAATCTGCAACATTAACTGAATTAGATAATTTTAGCTTAGCTTATACCGTCCGTTATACATTAAACACGCAAGCGTAAATGTATTACGCGCACATGCAAATTCGCAGCCGTAAAAGTCTTGCGTCAATGAGACGCATGCGCAGAAAGTTTGTAGCTTTGAGGTCCGGATTACAGATCATTCCGGATTATGGGTGTCCGAATTCACGACTTTTGACTGTAATTACGTCATAATAGGGTTTCCATAACATTCAGCTGCTCAAGTTACCATAAATGAAACAACAACTTCGCGATGTGTGTGTGATAGGATGTTTTAAGCTGTTCATGCACCATGCACCTAGAATTTCCCAAAGTGTGTGATTAGGGAAAATAATAAAAGATAAAGAGCTCTTTGAAATTAAAAAGGGGGGAACAAAAAGAGGCATGTTAAAATAAAAAGGCTATGTGTTCTGATATAATTTTCAAAGTGATCATAATTTAAACATTTACCGTCAGACACTCGTTGACAGAAATTGTCCATGCCATTTTGTCATAGCGGTAAAAGTGATCTGGATTTCCATAGGAGTGTCATTTTTAAGCTCTGTATTAACATCTCCTGGATATAGTGTAGTTTTCAAGTATTGGGTGCGAGCGAGGCATACTGCTTTCTATCAGAATGGCTAATTTCTAAAGGGAATCGTGCAGTATCAGATATGAGATGAATCTGTATTATGTCAGCATGTCTATGAAATGTTAATTTGGTCTCTCACCTTAAAAAAATTAAAAGCCTATTTAAAATATGAGTATATTTCACAGATGGCTATGTATATGGATACAGTGGATGTATCTTGTAACGAAAGTTTTCTCCCCCCCCCCAAAAAAAAGGTTCTTAATAAAGTTAGGGGGGGAAAAACATGAAAGCAGTACATTTAGTGCAGGTAATAATCACCAATGATTTTTTGCCAATGTTTTGGTAGTTCTTCAAAGCCTTCGGCCCAGAAACTTAGCGGCCACGAGTCCAAAAACAGATCAATCTCATTTCGGTCATCCTGTGCAGAATGGAAGACGGCACCAGCAAGAGTAGTTACAAGTGTGAAAAAAGGTAGGAGCAATGTTGGCTATATGGTGGGCATTGCAAAAAGGATCATATTCGAGTCTGTAGAGAGTCCAGCTGGTGAATGCAAACATATGTGGTCACACATCTTGATGGAACGCTACCTTTTTGTGCCAGAACTCAGTTCGATGTTTTCCTTTGATAGCAGTCTTAGCATGGACTAGTATCTTGCTGTACACCTCACTGTCTAGGGTTTCACCTTTTTCCAGATACTCTTTTTGGATAATGCCGCTCATGCACCAAACAGGCATTGAAATTGCACGTCAAGTTTATGCGATGCATTGCACAACTAATGGACATGGCAGTAACATCTAATGCCTTAGCAAGCTTTCGAGTGGTTACATACTGATCTTCCACAAGTTATTGAAGGCGGGCCTCATCAACATCAGTAGGCCTGCCAGTGTGCTGTGCATCTTGAATATCATAGTCTTTGTTTTTTAACTTTCGGTACCAAACCTTCATAGTGTCATATGATACAACATTAGTACTTAAAGCTATACACATGATTTGGCAACATTCTCTAGCTGATTTTTTGCAACAGAACTAAAAGTAAATAATGGTTCTAGTCTGCTAGCTTGATAATTCCATTTCAGACACCTTGTACTTAATGATAAGCTATATTTTTTACAGATTTCACAACACAGTATTCTAAAGCAAGTCTCTTTCTTTCAAATGCCAAAAATCGCTTGACAAAATATGCTTAAACACGGCAATGCGAACTGTTTGCACAGGTGATATTTGCAGTGACTGGAGTTGCTTGAGTGTTTTGGGGGGTTTCTCCATGTATGCCTTGTATATAAGCCAGTTTCCCTGGCCAAAATGAAAGCATCCCTTCCCTTAGGCAGGTAGCTTTAAAGGGCTTTGCCATAATCAAATAAGACAAAAATTTTGTAAAAAAATAATTAAATTTATATGGTGTATTGGCTGTGTTACTAATTTTTACACTCAGGGGAAGTAAACTGGCAGCCATATAATAAAGCTAAACAAAAAATTATTATACTGAGGGCCATGATATGTACCCGGAATGACCAGAGTTGTGTCTCATGAGCTGCATGAAATTCTTGCAGGCAAGTTGTGCGGCTCTTGTGCGAATGAAATGTGATAAACTACTTAGTACCCAAAAGAAAGTACTTATTTCATACCTTTTTATGAAGTTATTAGAAAACTTAAACTGATCAAAATCCAAACATAATTATTTTATTTCATTTCTGAAAAAGAGTACCTTTTAGCACATCAAGCTGTAATTAGAGGAAACAAAGACGTCACAAAATTTCATGATGTCTTTGTTGCATCATCACATGCTGAAGGCAATTGTCATTGAATGATTGTTTATAATTAGATGCTTCTTTGCATTTTAAACTTGTTGTTTTACCACTTAAGCCTGTTTCACTACTTTTAAAATGTAAAATATGGACTCGTGGCATTTGGAAAATCTAGTTGTGGCTCTTGAACTTCCACATGCTGACATGAAGTTTGGCTAGCCCTGAGATACAACATTGTGAACAACTTTTATTTATTACAGTAATATTACAAATGTTAAAAATAATTGTCAGTTAAATATATAAATGAAAATGCATTTTAAATGATAGTAAGTGGGTATATTATTTTAACTCTGTGAGTGCCATGACCTGCTTTATCGGTTCATGAGATTTTTTGTCACTTAGTATATATTAGCTTATAATTTAAGATATTTTGCTTTCTTACTTTCTTTAATAACATAAATGGCATGTTAATAAATGTAAGCTTTTGAAAATGGAGACTAAAACTATTGAAATTTACAAATTTCCCTAATAAAGGGACCTGTTTAAATACAGGTCTTCATGACAGATTCCAAAAACCTGTACAAATCGGAGGGTTTAAAAAAACTCTTGAATTATTAACAAGTACATTTGTTATTTTTCGTATTAAGCAGTTAGTTTGATTAAAGGTAAATTAAGGAACTTATTCTCTGCCAAATGACAGTATCTGGATCTTGCATTTCACGTGATTACAAAACATGCTAAGCTGTGTGAATGATAAATACACAGTAATATAACGATCTAATAATTTTGGTTTCTGTCCGAAAAAAATCGCCAAGTGATATTGGTTGTTTGTGAAATCTGGAAGCCCACTGCGTGAAATAGGTTTTTTTCGGTAACTCTAATGTTGATAATGTTGCCAAAACTAGCTTTGGGGAAAATTGTGGTTTTCTTTAGTTTTTGTCATTAAAATTGGTTGTTTTCTGCGAATATTGTCAAACGTGTTGTGATAAATTTAGATTTTGGCTATTTTTTGTAATAATAACCCTTTCATATGGACCCGAGTTTGATTTTCAGTTGCTGTGTTTGCTTACATGCGTGGTATGGTCTTGGATTTTGAACTTGCTATTATTTTGCTGTGGGTACCATTATTTGAATACGTCTGAGATGGGTAAGAGGATGAATGTTGATTAACAGTGGATGAGCAGAAGCGACCAAAAATTTAATTGAATTGCTTACGGGGAGGATGGAGGAGGTGGTGGTGGGAAGTGTGAATGTATTTATGTGAACAAAAGGTATATTAAAAAATTGATGTTTCATTTATTTATTTGTCTCTGTGTGTTAATTTTTGTTAAAAGATTTATTGTTTAATGTTGTTATGATAGGAAATATGCATTTTTGGTTATTTATTATTCTCTGTTTGTGTATTTTTGGTTATTTGTTCGTCTCTGTGTGCTCTGTTGGATAGTTTATTTGTACAATTCTTTGTCTTGTTATTTTGGCTTTGTGTAGCGGAAATTTTTGCGCCAAACATCGCCGCTACAGAAGCCAAAATAACAAGTCAAAGAATTGCACAAACTTGGTATCCATGTATCACCAAAATTCGCCAAGGGGTACCCATAAATATATTTTTACCCTTATTGTTAATGAATTTACAAAATTTTCGTGGGAAAAGGAAAAAAAAAAAGAAAGAAACCTCAAAATCATTTGAAAATTCCAAGTTATAGCCCAGATTGTTTATTAAATAGTAGCAACCAGCATTTTGAGCTCCATTCAGAATTACAAAATATTCAAAATGTGCAAATAGTGAATTTTTTGAAAATCATTTCCATGCAGTTATCACAATTTATTAATTCAGAAGCTTGCTAGTCATTTTCTTACCTGCAGATTAGCTTAAATGGGATTTAAATATTGCTAGATTGTTGAAAATGTGTTACATAGCAAGCAGATAAAAATCCTTTATTTACACTGACTAGCCAAAACATTCTGACCATCCCCACAGGTTTCAATGAATTTGTCTGAATGACATGGAGGGCACATATTTAAGTGGGCATGGTATTTAATTGCTGCTTGAGAAGGTAAGGAATCGTTCTTGCACTTACTTTCACAAGTGATGGGAAAGGCTGCTGATTTAGGCAAATTTGATAGTGGGCAGACTTTGTAATGGCCCAAAGACTCGATAAGTATCTCAGGAACTGCACAATCTGCTGTTGTTAGTATTTGTGCAAAGTGGATAAATGACAATGAAACCAGCAGTAGATGCCAAGGTTTTGGACGTCCATGCGTAAAAAAAAGACGTTGGAGACTGTTCCGCTTAGTATAGCAAAATTGGCACCAGACAGTGGCTGAGTTGATGACGTAATACGATGCAGCTCCAAGTGCAAGTTTTTCCGAACACACAGTTCAGCAGATACTGTTGGATATGGAACTGTGCTGCAGACATCCTACTTGTATGCCTTTGTTGACTGTCATTGTCATCTATGCCTACAGTGGGCCCGGGAGCGTAGAGATTAGAACATGGATAAGTGCAAGGCAATTGCCTGGTCAGATGAGCTATAGTTTCTCATTCATAACATCGATGGTTGTGTCAGGGTACATCATCTTCCGGGCAAACAGTTGTTCCCTCTTGTGTAGCAGGTCATACACAGGCTGGTAGTAGGTGGTATTATGCTTTTGGGGACATTCTCATGGGCAGTTCTAAGACTCTTAATTGTGGTAGAACGGACTATGAAAGCTTCAGACTTCTTGAACGTAGACCCACCAGCGGCCGAGTGGTAAAAAGATGCTGAACACTGGTAGTTTGGTCCGAGGTTCAAATCCTGCAAACGGGCTGGCTGCATGGGCGTTTTTGTGGTTTTCCCCATGTGTAATGTGAATACAAACCAGTTTCCCTTAAGTCCTCCACGAAGGCATCCCTTCCTTTAGGCAAATAGCCCTCGTGTGCTTTGCCATAATTGAATAATCCAATCCAATCCACTCTTGAACATAATTGCATATAAGTTGCACCCGTACATGGTATCTATTTTCCCAACTGGAAACGGGATTTTCCAGGAGGACAATGCTGCATGTCACAAGGCTCCAATTGTGTTGGAGTCGTTGAAGGAGCATTAGGATGAATTCCAATTAATATCCTGACCACCTAACTCGTTGGATCTTAACCCAATAGAGCACATTTGGGATGTCATGGAGTGGCAGCTCAGATCTCACACACCACCATGTCAGAATATCTCAACTTTGCGTGACCGCTGCTTAGACATCTGATATAACCTGTCTCCCATCAACTTGTGTATCCATGCCAAGGCAAGTTGCAGCTGTTTTGCAGGCCAGAATTTATGCAACACGTTAATAAGTAGATAGTCATAATGTTTTGGCTCCTCTGTGTATATATTTCTGTCAAGAAAATGTTTTCTATTTGTGGAATGCAAATGGTTTGTAAGCTTTTTTGAATGTCAAGAATCTTAATTTCATCTATTTTTGGTATAAAATACATGAATTATTTTGGGGGAAAAGTTTAATTTTACTCTTTTCGGTTAAATTGATTTCTTTTTGATATTTCACTTGCAATATTATTAAGTGATTTATGTTTTGTAACTGGAATATTTCTTTGTATAGGTTTTCTTAAGCGTACTATTACTCAAACAGCTAAGCATTTAAAAACTACTGTTGAAGAAAATGTAAGTGGCACTTCATATTTAGTATATTCCGTATTTTACCTATTGCTACTTCCTGTATATAATTATTTAATGGTCTGTTACATTTATTTCCTTATCTTAACATTGCATATATAATAACAGTATTACAAAACTGGAGAATCCATGACTATGAAAAGATAAGCTATCTTAGTTTTTTTTTTAATATTATATGACATAAATCTTAGTTTATGTGTCTTGTATGAATTATATTGTTGGTATGATTTTTCATAGTGCTATGATCCCATTTTAATTTTTGGCATTTAGTTATTTGGGGAGATATGTAGATTTGGCTGTAGAATATTTAACTATAAATTTGTTAGAGTCCACTCAACTCTTGATTATCGAATGTGCAGATTTTTCATAAGTTTAAAAAAAAGTGAGAGAGAGAAATGAAACATCAAACTATAAGAAATATTTGCCCTTTGATAGGTGACTTAAGTTATTTATGAGAATTTGGCTTGAGTAAATGGCTATCTCTCTAAATTGGCAACATATCGGCAATTTGGCGATGGTTTGGGCGAAAATTTTTTAGAAAAACGTGGAGACCATTTGGCAACTGTTTAATCTGGTCCCTGTATTACTGTAATGGGTATTGTAATTGAATAACTAATTGATTCCTATATCAGCTGTAACCATATCTGATCCTCATATGCCTTTCAGTAATCTTGAGAAGCAGAAGGTACTAGATATTTCTCAACGGAACTGCAAAGTGTTTCTTTTGGTAAAATAAATTTTTTCAATCTAGCATCCATTCTGTATGCATTCAGTCTATTATGAACAGGTACGCACACAACAATTTTTGGTGTCAGGAATGGAGTTAACTGTCAGTGAGAAGAGCATTTGCGGAACAACTAAGAGAGCTCATGTCCCTCTTTTCTGCATTCAAAGAAGAGATGAAAGCAGGTCAAGGATCCATTAAGGAAGAAATGAAAGGGGGCAAAGAAAGACTGAAGCAGGTCAAGAAGGAAGGAAAATAAAAATTACTGCCATAATAAAGAAAATAAATTCGAGGCAATGGAAGGTAGAATAGACACGGTTGAAGACAAAGTTGTTGAAATTTAAGAAAAATTTCTGTTGTCGAACAACAAATCGAAGAAACAGTTTCTGCTGTCCAGCAACAAATGGAACATCCAAGTAATGACAGATTTTCTGCTGCTGTTGCCAAGGAAGTTAAATGTTTAAAGAAATCCGTAACGACAGCTGGTCACAATTCTAATGCCTTTAAATTCGAACATATGCCCATCCAACCCTCTGTAAAGCTATCCAGATATGATGACAAGAGCAGTTCTATATAGTAGCAAATACAAATTGATGGGATTCTGGAATTAAAGACTACCATTTCTCAACTTTGTTGGGAGCAGACACGGTGGATATCCTCCAAACACTTTCCCGAAAACCAAAGGCTAGACTTCAAAGCTCTGACCAGTGCATTGGAACTGCACTTTGGGAAGAAGTGTTTAAAAAACTATAACAGGCTTCAGTTAAAATATCACCAACAGAAGGAATATCTCAAGAGCTGTAGCAGCCTAAAAAGAGTGCTAGTAGCCTTGGCACTCATCGTCCTATTGAGGATCATTATCTCGTTGAGAGTTGCCAATGTACTGATAATGCGAAAGTCATTAGGAGAGGTGAAGTGGTTGCAGCATGTACTCTGACATGCATTAAATGAAACAGTAAACTTCTAGAATATATGTTTTCAGGGAGCCTAATGTCCGAGTTATTGCAGAATGCTTTTAAGCAAAGAAGACAACTGTGCTGCAGAACATGTCTTTCAAGAATTTCAACATGTTTTCTCCTGCTCATCTTCTGACATAGGTTGAACAGGGTTCGTAGCGGTCCTTATAAGTGCTTATAAGTCCTTATATTTGAAAATAAAATATAAAGGCCCTTATAGGTGCTTACTTTTTCTTTAAAGCCCTTATTCTTTTGTTTTTAGTGCTTATTTTTGCTTTTAGTGCTTTTTTTTAAATGAAAGCGCAATTTTTCCCCGTACCAAAGCCAACTTAATAAACCAAAGCAACTTAAATAAACAACTTTTCTTCCTAATATGGAATGTCAGATGGTGAATCATACTCCCGGAACTTTTCCTCCTTTCTCTGCATTAGCATAACCTCTGGTGTACGCGGAGAGTACAGACAGGTGCCCGTCATTCTGTTGGTCAAAGAATTGCGAAAGCAGTAGAAAATTCTGGTACATTTGGCATTCTTTTCCTCCCACCCTAATACTACACATGTTTGAATTTCTATCAAGATCTTAATAATTTGCATTCTCGTTCCGCTAGGTCAGTTCATATTCGTATTTATTATGATCGTTATGCTTATATTATGAGCATATGTATAAATGTTTATAATAACATAGTTGCAGTAACTGCTGAAGTATAGTAAACTTCCAAAAATGGTTGTGTTTTAACACGGATTAGCTTTCTAATTAATAATATTCGGAATGGCGTAAATAAAGGGACAGTAATCAAATAGTCAAAATAATTTAATTTTTTTGGCCGATACATTATACAGTACGAAGGTTGGGAGGTTCTCCCCTTTTTCCGCAAAATCTCGAATATTGAAACTGTTACAGTTCGCTGCAAAGCAAGCAATGGACTTTTTTTTTTTTTTTTTGTCACTTTCCAATGTGGATTGAATAGGACTAAAAGTTCTGGGGTCTACCAACCCAAGCGAAGAATGATTCTATTCCGGAAATTTAACGCAGTCTGTTTCATTTAGAATGAAAAACACCTCAAGTCTCTTTCTTTTCCTTTATTTATTTCTTTATTCTCCCAATATCGGCAGCTGTTGAATCCGATTGCGTAATATCATGTAGGGAAGAATTACGGCGCACGTATTGTGCAATAACCTTTGCGATATTTTGCAGAGATAATTAATTTTGATGTTCGGTCCGAGATTTGTTTATGAACACTTAAAAGAGTTTTTGCTAAGCAGAATATTTTTCTGTTCTGTTGGTTTGTTTTTATATGTCAAAAGCATTTATTTAGCGGAAAAATCTAAAGAACGACTACAGTCTATCCCTCCCTCGGCTCCTCTTTTTTAAGTTACGCTCGACTGTCCGAATATTCGCCAATTTTCAAGTATGCGGGTAGTTAAGCTTTTACTGTTAAAGGATGACTGCATGAAGCAAATTTCTGTCTTCTGATTTCAGAAATTTTCCTCTTTTTTACTTAAATTACTTTGCTTGCAATATCTGTTAAGGGAAAACTGATATACGATGAAAATTTAGAAAATGTTCAGAATTTAGATTTAAATTAGTTAAATATCAATATGAGTGGAAAAATAAATTGCATTTATTATTAAGTTTCAAGCGAATAGAATAAATATGCCTTATTATTATTTATTTCCTCTATTTTGAACTGAAATTTCATCATTAAATCTTGTAATATAGTTTAGTTGTGCATAGTTTTTTTTTCTCTCATTGTAAACTAGTTCTGTAAATTGAACTGTTATTTAAAATTTAAAAAAAAAAGTAATTATTTTCCATGGTTGAGGTCCCATGCTTATTCTCTCTTAATAAATACTGCATTTCTCATATTTTAAATTACGAGTCTAATTTTTGAAGTTATGCAGTTGTGTATAATGTAATTAGACAGGTGCTTATTTTTTTAACTAAAATGTGGCTATGAACCCTGTTGAACCAGTTTGGCTCAGCATAGAATGGGTACAGAAGATCATCCACAAATCAAGCACTGTCGAAGACAACTGCCAGTTGCTAGACAGGAAAAGGTAGGAAAACTTCTAAAGGACATGCAAGAAAGCGACGTCTTTCAAGCAGCTGCCGAGTATCCACAGTTGGAAGATAATGTTCTATTGTATGTGAATGAGGGAAGAAGTTCTAGTTATGCTGTAACTGTATATATGATATGCTTCCAAGCTTGTGAAGAAGCTGGTTGGATGAAGGTAAGCTGTGATCTTAAGCAAGTGCAGGAATGTGTGCATGTTTTATGCATAAGAATGGTTTGTTGCTACATCATAGAACAAAAGTTACACAGTATCTCCCAGCAGACTTTGAAGAGGAAATTCGAAATTTTAGGGTGTATTATTTGCAAGCGACTATCTAATGAGCATTTATATTGTCCAAAATTGGTAATGCAGATCAGTTACCTGTTCACTGGGACATGTCTATGTCTTGTACAGTTGTACCAAGAGGCTCACATCCAGACGAATCAAGACTGCATGTGGTGAGAAGCGGTGATCTGCAGTGGCTATAGTGGCAGATTGAAGAAAACTGCCTTTGTATATGCCTAACTAGTAGCAACAGAGCTGAAAAATATTATTAATTGCTTTTAAATCACTTTGTTTCTTAATTAATTACAGACATAATATATTTGAAAGAAAAATGAAATATTTAGTGGTTTGCTGAATAGCATCACATGAAAGATAAAAATATTTTATTTCAAACAATGGCAACACTTTCTTTTAAATTGCTGAGTTTGTTCGTCAGGTTTGAAAGACAGATATCTTGCACTTTGTTGAGTGACAAACAGTGCTTTTAAATTGCTGAGTTTGTTAATAAAAAATTCTTTATTTTTGTGCAAAATATGAAATAAATTTAAAAAAAAATTAGGAATTCAAAATTTGGACTTTGAGATGTGAATATTGAGGAAGACTACCTGTGTTCAAAATCTGGTGGCTTTAGGTGCAGCGGTTTTTTTCACAGTGCAAGGAACATTCAGAAATACATACAGCTTCTTCATTATTAAAAATATTCTGAAATTTGTTTTTCATTAAATGCAGATCTCAAATTTTCCTAGTGTTAAAAGCGTTCAATATTTAAGTCTTTTCAAGTTCTTTTCCCTTATTATTTTTAATTAAGAATTCAAGAGTTCCTAAAACTTTTTAGCATTTAGATTAGCTAAAATTAAGGATTCTCCCGACTCTATTTATTACTTAAATATATTCTTATTTTAGGAATGCTTTCCGTTATTTATATAATTAATAATTGCCTTTTACATTTTAAAAGTGGAAAATAGTTTTCAAAGTTTCTTTTAAAAATCTAGTTTAATTCTAAAATTTTAATCAAATTGCTTTTAATTTCACTTTTTATGTATTTAAACTGAATAACTATCTGAAATTCATTTTGTGCAGCATACAATTTTTTTTTCCTCCCCAGCATATCTTTTTTTTTTTTTTTTTTTTTTTGTTAATTTAATAGTTTAAGTCTTAAGCATGGAATTAGTGTCTCTTGGTTCTTTGTAACTGAATGTGGGCACAGATAAATTTTTATTTCTTTTGCAGAGCATATTAGGAGATTTCAATAAAGAGCAAGAGGCCTTTGTCACTAGTAAAAATTCTGAATCTGTTGATGACTGTATGTGTCCATGGGAAGGAATGGCTGATGAAGAAAGTGTTAAACAGCAGATTTTATCTTTGTCTTCTGTAAGTATGTATTTTAAAAATGGGAATCTGACTATGAAGCATTCTTAATTTGCTATGTCAATTGTTTATCTTTTTGACAAATGACAGTGCATCAACATTGAATAAATCCTTCAGAAGAGTGAGATGAGTGAAGGTATAAATGGCTGCGGTATCTAACCTATTCTATAGTTTCAGTTTGTTTGGAAAATTATTAGATGGCCTTTAGAATCTTTTGTCAGTGTTTAGCCACTGTAAAGTGGCAGTATAAATAACTAATTAATGAAACATTCTGTCTCCTTTTTTGACTGTATGTAAATTACCATTTAAGGGATATAAAAATCCTGAATAGTTTATTACCTCCTACTATTTTTCATTAGCTGGGAACTGCCCTTTAACCCTTTCCTTTTAAAGTTGGAATTAAAAAAAAAAATGCTAGGCAGTCTGTTTGCACTTAGAGGAGTACACAGGTAAAATTTTGTTAAGATAACATTCACTTTTTTAATATCATAGGTGTGTCTGAGATGATCTCACTGAATAAATGGAGCTTCAAAAAGAGCACTAAAGGGAGCATTGCTGGAAAGCATGTGATCAAGTAAAAGATTTTCCATATGATTAAAAACACTGGATTCTGATTACTGTAGCAGTCTAGCATTACCCAGGATACACCATGGGGAGGCCTGCTATTCTACCCCTTTCCCCAAAAGTATACGTCTGCTCTCTGTATTGAATTTACAACCTGAAGGCAATTTGTTTAGCATTTTCAGTGTTTCAAAAAAGATCAGCCCTGTCTGATCCATTTGCAAATTAATTAAAAATCAGAAAAAAAAGCAAATATTATATCTACAATTAAGAAAATATAAAGTATTAAATAAAATTAAATAAACATCTACTACTCAAAATCGTCAAAACATATAGCTAATAAAGCTTCTTTCAACGAAGGCGAGAGAAAATGCTCTAGTGAAAATCAAAGAGCTAACGGATAAAATTATCCCTGACTTCAGAAAAACACATCAACAATTTCTTAGTTGTTAAACAAACCTTCACCCTCCCCCGCCCAAAAAAAAGCCAAGAAATTAAACATAGCTGTGCGCCCACCCTTTTCTGTTGTGAATGGGCTCACTGAAGAAAATTCTGCAGTGAAACAGTGATACAGTTGTTGGTCTGTTTGATCCCACCTTGGGCACATCAGATGTTCGTCATTCGATTTTAGGCAAGATTTCTAGGTAAAAACTTTAAAACTGATATAGAATAAAGAGATCACCATACAGCCAAGAAAGTAACATAGAAATTTCTTTAAAAAAATTCCTTTTAGATCATCTTAAAAAAGAAAAAAAATCTGGAAGATGTCTTAGAAAAATTAGGGTCTTTAAAAACTAAACATGGCTGAAATGTATCGTCTGGTTTGTGTTGTGCTGCCATCTAATGTTAATAAAGAAGTTTAAAAGTAACCTATAGTAATCTATAAAACCTTTTCCATTCAATTTTTCTGTGTGTACAGAGGGAATTTTTTGGGTGTGCCGGAAAAGGTTAGTAAAAAATTATACTTTCTTTCTATTACTACCTTCATTCGATTCAAAGTTTGTATCAAAGTTGGAGCCACATTCTATATTAACTATGAATTAGCCTTTTTTTAACTGAATGTACTGTATGTTAAGTGATCAGTTCAGAATTATAAAGCATCTAAATAACCTTTCTATGGCTACAATGAAAATGCATATGCTTTTGATTTTAGTATTAATGAATAAATATTGTTTCCTAATAAAATTTGGAATCAGCCTAGGCAGAGTTTTATGAATTATGTCCAAGTTATTTTTCCATGCTTGACTTTAGGAAGACAGTGTAGTATAGCTAAATTTATTAGAATGATAAAGTTAATAATGTCATAGTTCACAATAACCCATAGCATGTATGAAGAAAAAGTAGACTGTATTCAAATTCATTTTTACCAAACTTATGGAGAAGTTTTTCTCTAAAATACTCTAATCTACATCATATGTATTATGTGACATAGTTTACTACCACACCTAATTAATTTTTTAAGTGACTATCACCATTGATGTAGTAGGATAAAATATTGTAATGCTTTTTCAAGAATATAGAAAATCTTCAGCTTAAGCAAGATATGTTCCCAAGAATATGTTGGACACATATAAATTTTTATTTTTCTGTGCATATTTTCACAAAATTTACTTTTAATGAAATCTAGTGTTGAGTCTTGTTTACTTTAAAGTCTAAATTTTGTTTTGGGAACATGCAGTATTACCATTTTATAAAGGTAAAGTTCTTTTTAATCAGTTTTATTGTTTCTCTCAGGAGATCAGAAGATGTAATTATCTCTCTTATTTGATAATTATTTTGTATCATTTCACATAATATAACTTACACACATAATATAACTTATGAGTTGGATCTGTGTATAATATAGATTCTTTATGAATAATGTGTATATAGTCATGAGAATACTAACATTAATACAGTCAAAAGTCGTTAATCTGGACTCGTCGGGACTTCGGCGATTCCGGATTATAGATCATCAGTTTAATCTGGTAAGATGGCATGCAGAAATTATAAAATTAAAAATATGAAACCATAATTAATGAAATAAAGAACAATTATGATCTAAAGGGTATCAAAATTTACAAAAAAAAAAAAAAAGCTTAATATTTATTTGTTTACTTTATCAAACATTTCTTTCAATATAAGTTGTTTAAGTTGCTTTATTTTATGTGATAATACTTTCTCTTTAATTCTATAAACAGACATAATTTCTTCTTCAGTTACAAAGTTCCGCTGTTCAAGTCCTATAATTGCTGTGTCGACAATACCGACTAATTCGTCAATCGAAATTTTTTCGTTTTCAATAACCTCTGTGTCACTTTTTTCACTATCGGAAGCAAATTATAATGACAAGGAATTTGATTTAAATCATATCAAAGAAAGAATACATCGAGATGAAATACTACATTTAGTAAGGAATTATAAGTCAAATAAAATGAAAACTTCTGCCCTGAAGATAAGGATAGTGCTGACAGATCAACTTCCAATTCATTGCCCGCCACAGCATCCCCCCCCCTGCAGCAGAGCAGCGTGAAATTGATAAAACAGATTTCGGAATGGTTAGAGAAACAAAGGATATGCCTTTATCCATTTTTGCAGCAATTCTACTTTTTGTTTAATGGACCTCGAAACATACTTTCGCTTTGTAGATCCTTTACATATTAGTAAATATATATTGGAAATTCTATTTGACATAATCGAAAGTTCAAGCTTACTTTTATAAAATTGCTCTAACAGTCTGCAAAAAATAATAAGCCAAATCCAATTCGAAGATTAAGGAACAACGCAATCTGCAACATTAACTGAATTAGATAATTTTAGCTTAGTTTATACCATCTGTTATACATTAAATGTGCATGCGTAAACGTATTATGCGCTTGCGCACACACATATTCGCAGCCGTAAAGATCTTACATGCATGACGCATGCGCAGAATGTTTGTGTCTTTGTGGTCCGGATTATAGATCATTCCGGATTATGGGTGTCCGAATTGACGACTTTTGACTCTAGTACTATAATGGCTTCTGCATGCCAGTATTAATACATAATAATATTTCATTTGACAGTATAATGTGTTTAATTTTGTGTCAAAATATTTTGATAATTTTTAACTGAAACAAATAGAATATAAAGGCAGACTTATAAAATTGTTTGAATGATAAGTGGAAGAAATTGTAAAAATATGTATGTTGCTATGTATCAGTATATGTATGTGTATGCAGTTTACTCCTGCTATAATGAACTTCAAGGGACTGGAAGTTTGGTTTGCTGTAACTGGTGGTTCACTGTAGTCAATCATATGAGAAAAATGCATTATCTCACAAAAGTAAAAATTGAATGCTGAGTCATGTGCACACAAAGGGCAAAACACCACTGATTAATATTGTCACATCTATCAAAAGTGAATAATAAATGCAATTTTAAAAAATCATATTGAAATTTCATTACAGTTATTAGGTTCTGCTATTAAATTTGTTGGTTATTCTATTCCAGTTTCAGTATATAAATTAATAAATTTACACAATAAATTAGTATAAATATCATGCTTCTGATCCCTCCCTCAAATTACAAATTTATAATTATGAATAATTATTTTATCAAAAAAATTAACTTTTACTTAACTTCTGAGTGCAGAATAATGTACAATTTTCTGCTAATTTCAATGCAGATCGCAGAAATATTTTATTCATTCATTTGTTCAAAAATTGAAAAGATTTCTTTCAATTCTACATTCTGTATGAATAAAAACTTATTAATGACGTGCATCATGGTGTTGGCATTCGCTGTAGAAGGAAGTTCACTTTCTGTGCTTTGCATTTCCTCAGTATTTTTATCAGCATCAGTGCTGTTGATGTCGGCATTTATTGCAGTTTCTTTTGTAATATCTTCATCACTTGGATCTTCACATGCAGCATTACCCCTAGATAACTGAAAAACTCCATAACCCTTTCTGAAATTACTGAAATGCCATTTCTTTCTAGCCATTTAGGAATACAGAAATCCTCATTTTGTCTTTTTCATTAATAACCTTTGGTAGACCAGCATATGGATAACAGTTTCTGGTGGTTGATTTTGCCAAGACTTTTCTAGCAGTGTAATTCTCTGATGACTTTTCTTGAAGAAATGTTTTGTTTCTTAAATCTATTCATCCAATCATCTGAGCATGAAAATGTCAGTTTCTGCATCTGAAAAAGCCTTTGTCTGAAGCATTTGTCCAGATAACAGCAGATGACAGCATTTTAGAATGGCTAACCATTTTAGCAATGCTTTATCAACATACATGCTCAGCCTTTCTAAACTTTATCCTTATATCCTAATTTTTTCCATGAACAGAAATTATTGAGTCTGCATTTTACTATATAATACCAACTGTAGATTTGGTTAAACTGCATTCCCAGCAGATATCTGTTTGGCTTCAACCATTTTGTATTTTTTGAATGATTATCTTATCTTCAGTGCAAAAT